CAAGCAGTCGCTCGGTAATGTCCCTTTGTCCGGAGGTTCCTCCTTCCATCGGAAAATACAAGATCCATGCTTTGTCAACGGGACTCCTCTGCGCCATTGACTGACAACCTCTGTGCATTTCCTCACTTCGCTGCGCCCTATCTGCCTAGGGAGAGCCTGAAGTGTTCTCCTAAAAGGATGAGTTGCAGTCAGGTTGGATCCTCTTTTCCTCCGTCTACAGATCCTTGAAAAATCTGTTACAAATCTCCTCTTAAAACGAGGGATATCTTCACTCATCGTGATCCCACGAAGTGAGTGCCACTTACCACTAACAATTTCTCTGAAGAGTGTCCATTTGTTGCCTCTTCGGTGCATTCTGTCTTTACCTTGCCAAATTGTCAGGGTGGAATTGTCTTTAACAAAGATCAGTCCAGAGTCAGAGCACGAAATCAAGTCAGGGTATACAGTCAAATCAGTAAAAAAACTCAGGGTTTCCTGTAGACTGTAATGTGGGATTTCTTCGCAATGAAGTTTCCACCACCAGCTGAGATACCCCTGTCACTTCCTTCGAAGCAAAGAGTACTACAAGACCAGAATGTTGGGGTTCCCTACTATTCATGGCTTGTTCTGCTTCAGGGTCCTTCATCAGAAGTATCCCTGTCGCCCCAGCTGTACAGGGCAGCAGAGACAAGTTGTCTCCCTGCTCACGAAAAGTATTTTCTTCTTCGATAATGGCAAACACTTCTGTCTGTCCATTATCGACGTGCACAGGCCTAGCAGAATTGTCCTGTTTATGTCGAGTCTCTAAGATCGTCAAGACGTCCAGAGAACTCTCCTCCTCATCTGCTATTCTCACCTTGGTCTGGCTTTCATATGCACAGTCCAGTGAAAGCAAATCAGGAGGTGTGTTGCCGCCATCGCAGTCAACTCCTTTTGGTGTAAAGTCAGAACTAACACATTCCATTAGGCATGCGGCCGCATCCAAGGAAATAGGGGACACAGGTTCAGCGTTATTCCCTACATCAGTCTGCTTTAATTCCTCTTCTTGCATGAAGGGACCAAAGGGGATATGGGAGTTGGGTAAGTCTTTGCCCTCGTCCTCATTAATGTCTGGTGTGACAGTCGAACCGCTATGTCTACGGTTACAACCGTTATCACGCTTGTCACTACTGTCAGGTTCGCTCTCATTTATCTCGTCTGAGGTAATGGGAGTAAGGGGTTCCAGCAATGTAGATCTGGTCCCTTTAGAAGATTTCTGCTTCTTGTTCCATCTTTTCCTTTTAGGCTTAAGAATGGAAGTTAAGGGGTCCAGCAATGTAGATCTGGTTATCCCTAAAGAAGAGTTCTCCTTGTTGCCTCTTTTCTCTGTAGGAATAAGAGGTGTGAGATACTGTCCTCCGGTTTTTATGTTTTCTTCCTTAGCTGTTGAGTTTGGCCAAGGAGTGCACACCTCAATGGTTAGATAGTGGGCCCCCACCATATCTGCTTGAGTTTCAGCCTGAGGTAATGGTTTTTCCTCGCATATACTCGCAGTTTCCTCAACGCTAATGTTTTCTGCTTGCTGTTTTATCCTATCTTTTTCTGCCCTCTCAAGTAGCAGTTTTCGATGAATTTCTTCACTCTTACGCCGCATCCTTTCAGCAAATCCTTCCTGAATACACTCTATCTCTCTTTCTAATTCTTCTCTTATAAGCTGTATGTCTCTTTCATACTCTACTTTCCTTAGCTGTTCCTCTCTTTCATACTCTTCTTTCCTAAGCTGTTCCTGCCTATTATATTCTTCTAGCTCCAACTGGCGCTTTTTCTCTGCAGCATTACGGGCAACCATATAATCAAAAGTATCCATCTGGCATTTAATATATGTTTCTAACTGTGCCCCTACTCTACCCTCAGCTATCCCGAATTTTCTTACATCTTTTTGGTACTCGGTACGTAAGTCCATTCTATCTATCAGATCCAGATAAATATGATACTTCCCTCGAGTCAGGATAAGAAGGATATGTCAGAGCAAAGTACAGTGAACTTGGCACCAGAGGAGACTATGACAGCCGCACAAAGATGTATATGATGCAAAGCAGCCTACCAGATTAACAGCCTATAGAATACTATAGCAGCAAAAGGATAAACCTATAAATGATCAAAGCGATGTTACACTCAGTCACTAATTATTAATCTCAATGATATGATGTCAGCATGTAATATGTTCTACAATCTATATCAAATGAAATATGCAAGCAAAAAAAAATCATCAATTCATCAACTCTAACTAAGCACTATAGATTAAACATTGATCAATGTTCATGAAATGTTCAATGATAGACAGTTAACTCATATGATTTCATCAATTAAATACTTTTACAGTTATTATAATTTAATCTTCCCAGTTACCAATTACTAAGTATGATTTTAGTCTAAGAACTGGATGAAGAGTTAAAATGAAATCTATGAAATTAAACTTCTTTTCGTTAGTCTAGGGTCTGCCGGGTTTGATCGCTGGCGGGACGCCACTTGTGTCAGGTTTTAATTCTAGAGAGCGACACAATTGTTACGTGATGTTATAAACCCCGAGACGAGATACCCAATTGTCGCTCGATGTTATAAATTCCCAGACGAGATCCCCAATTGTCGCGCGCCCACGTGGGTAAATACACTGATATAGTGAGGGTGTGGGTTTGAACCTTAACAATGCCCACCCACGTGAGAAACTGGACTATTATCTAAGCTATGTTGATCCTAGACAGTCCTGGATAGCCAAGAAAACAGCGAGTGGCTCGTTCCATGAAATGAAAGTTGCTGTACTTGTATCCACAGGAGAAGGAGAAGGGATAGATAGATATCTGGATACACCCACTGTGATATAATCCAGGTGCTCATTTAACCCCTGCGACTGGTCTCCTCTCCTGGCATTACTTAAAAGCCCCCATCAAGTGATTTAAATATTTGTTAGCTGAAGTAAACTAATATGCACAAAGACACTTGAACCTAAGTACACAATTTACTCAACTATGTTGTAACAACATCAAAAAGATTTATTTAATAAATCGAAATTAAAATAAAATGAACTTGTTTAGGCTAGTAGAGTTGGGATGATGTTGATGAAATTAAAGTTATACATAAAGTAACAACCTTTGGACAGTTCTCGGCTTGAGACCCTGCCTATCTTTTCCAGTTTGTCGTCCTCACTGCTTTCTGCAGGTCGTTACACTCGACGGTCGGCAAATAATGGATGCCTACTAGTCCCTGCCCAATGTGGGAACTGGAGAATGAAGAAACAAGCGCATATTTGTAGTATCTGCTCTAGATGTACACTAAGCATGTATATTATACTAACATCAAGCATGTTTATTTAAATAAAACATTTCATCTCTCCCTCATGCTCACATTCACTCCTGTCCAATTTGGAAGGGCTTATGTCTCACATTCCAACTGTTACATCTTCTGCCTTCCTCTACACGTCCTGTAATGATAGTCAAGTCTTCTACGTCAGGTGCCATCTCTCGTACAGACTCAAAATGACAATCAGTCAGACAGAACCAGTTCTGGAATCTATGCTTGGAACAATCGACGCGCCCAGAAAGCTAACAATATTTCTGAGGCGAATCAAATAACAAATCTCGTGGATTTACTCTCCGGGATCAATCTCCGCATTAGCCTCCCGAGAGTTAAACACATTTCAGTGTGTTAGCTGTATGTAATACAGATTCACATTAACCACACGTGAAAAGATTGCCAAAGTTATCTTCACGCTTGTGATTTCAAAAACATGATAGTTCATTAAATTTCAATGGCAACAACAACATTTAGGTTTTACAACATTGAAACACATGTGCCCGAAAAACATTCATGACACTATCAAATAGGAAATAAAGCAATGTGACAGTGCCCTACGAGAATGAAGAAATGTCCGCCTAGGAGTACTACAAAGTGATGAAGACACACACTTGAGCAAAAAGACAGATCTCTATCATAAAATATAGATGTGAACCTAATTTCGATCTTACCTGGAAAAATGAAACCACGATGCCAAAAGTTCTGTCTCAAGCTTAGGTTAAGCCCAACAGATGGCATGTGCTAGACAGGATCTCATTTACCAGACCTAGCGTTCACCACTTTATAACTTTTATCAAGCTCCTCCTACATTACGCCTAAAATCATTCTCATTAAGGGATATCACAGCTCCTCCCTTGTGGGTGTATATTCACTGTCAGTCAGTGACTGTACAACAATTGTTTGAATTCCCACGCTAGGATTCTCCTGGTTCAATTAAGCTGGTCCCAGCTAATAGGCCTAGTCACACCTCCAGTCTACTTCACCTGTCATCACAATAAAATCCGACTTTGTCAATTCTTCTGCCAACACTTTCCGCTCACTGTGTCAATAGTGACCGTCGGACCTGCACGTCGAGTTTAGGTAACCTCAGGGGGAATTAACACAATTAGCCGGAGTTAGCTGCTCCTAAAAGTCTGGCTAGGAGATGAAAATATCTGACACCAACAGCATGGTGGGTGCTGAAAACTCCAGTCTTATCTCTGCTACATCAACACTTTCTGGGAAAGCAGTTTTAGTCAGTAAGTCTGCTTGGTCAGTCTCCCTGGGACCTGTATCTCTGTACCTCTTTCCCTCTACTGTCCTGCACGTTAGATCTTATTAGATGTCCATACCATTCCATTTTTCGACTTTTCATTTTGGTTAAAAGAGGTTTATAGCTGCCAATGTGCTGTATAATTTTATGGCGAAACTCTTCGTTGGTAATGTGATTTCTGCATTATATGCCAAAAATTTTTGGAGAATGTTTGGTGAGACGTTTTGTGTAACAAAGTTTTAATTTGGAATGAAGAGTGAATCCTGAAAGAAAGGACGTACGATAGGAAGCTCCCAACATGTGTAATACT